AGTTAGTATGGGACGCAGTAAACATTTGCATTCTATCAGGTTTTATATGCACCAATGTGGGGTCCAGAGGAGCTCTGGGATTTTATGAAGGTTCTGGGTTAGATGTGAGGATAGCTACCTGCATGGAAAGGCAGAGTGGAAGGGAAGGGAGAAAAAGGTCTCCCAGCATTTTAGGGATGTTCCCGTTTGTCGGACACATTAGCCAGGGCTACTTTCCTGTGGGATAACATGAGATTTCTCCCTCCAAACAAGGCTGAGTAACTCTGAAGTTATGGGTAAATTTAGATACAGGCAGCAGGCCTGCGGAGATTGCTTAGATGACCATGAAGCTTTGAGGGGGCGAAGATGGGGACCAGATGCACTATGGTCATTGGTCCCTCCCACCCACAGCAAAGATCAGGGAGATTCTGGCACAATTCAGAGAGCCTGCTTGGATGGAAGGCAGGTTGCCTTCCAAGACATTCTCTCTCTGTCTCTCTCTCTCTCTCCCTGTCTCTCTATCAAGTGGAGTTCAGGCAGCAACAGAACCTGGATTCTACAACAATAGGGCATTTCTTCAGGCCCTAAGAGGGCTCACAAAGGGCTGCAAACAAGCAGGGCTCTCTGGTCTACCCCCTCTGCATGCAGTGACACCAAGAAATGCTGCAGCGAGGCAGAAATGAGCCCTGATCACAAGTCGGCGTGGAGCCTCCCAAGCCCTCACCGGGGAGCAGAGAAGCCCTACGGCTGTTTGCATCTGTGCTTCGCCCATCACATCTGCCCCTTGCTCCCAGTCCCAGCTCGAATGTCCCTTTACTGTGAATACATTTCATTCAATTCAAATTCACACAGGACCCAGGGTGATTTCAGACACTTGGACCTTTCTCTAAGGACCCCAGCACTTCAGTCACTGGTGCCCCCCGGCTCTGGAAGGATCATCACTGCCCAGATGGGCAAAGAGTCCTCACTCTCAATGTGGGCTCGACCTGACAGCAGACAAGAAAGGAGGCAGCTGGGCCTCTGTTGGTCACCTTCCCATCCATTTCCCAGTCGGTACCTCCTACTTGTGTTATGTGTAAAATGACACCCGGGGCAGTGGGACAGGACGGCCTGAAGACCACTCTATGACGACAATCAAATCTTACTCAACTCTCTCAATTTCAAAAGATTTCGCCTCATGCCTTTTACACTATTACTCTCCTCATGATTATCTCCTGGAAGCTCAGCGATTCCTCTTCTGCCTGATTTGCAAAACCCAAAATACTCCGATCAGGTCTTCATGTGCAGAATCAACAAGTAACATCAGCTGTCTGATCTTCTGCGGCCTGATCACCCCGTTAGCGTCTCCAGTTTCATGAAACAAATCAACGTTCCGCTTAACCAATCCTGTTCGAAGGCAGTTCTGTAAAACTGCCAGTGCTGGGATCAGAATTCCTGTTTAAAGTGCGTGGTCCCGTATCTTCTACTGTCACCTTCTGCTGTCAAACAGAAGAGTGAATGTTTCTTAAAAACCATCACTCCTCAGACCAACACACCATACACACTCTCCCAAGGGAGCCTCCCTGTACTTAATGATCACGTTCATTCAGTGACAAAATAAGCCCACATCACCACCATCATTTACACACTATCAAAAATGGGGCTTCCCTGGTGGCGCAGTGGTTGAGAGTCCGCCTGCCGATGCGGGGGACACGGGTTTGTGCCCCGGTCTGGGAGGATCCCATGTGCCGCGGAGCGGCTGGGCCCGTGAGCCATGGCCGCTGGGCCTGCGCATCCGGAGCCTGTGCTCCGCGGCGGGAGAGGCCACAGCAGTGAGAGGCCCGCGTACTGCAAAAAAAAAAAAAAAAAAAAAAAAAAATGAACACGGAGCTTTTATTCAAATACTCAGTAAGTCTTCTACTTAGAACAACGTGGAAATTAAGTGTGAAGAATGACATTAATTCAACATTATGGCTCATTTTACTCACAGAAGTCACAGAACTTAAAGTTATGATTCCCACAGCCGCCGTAACTGTCACACGCCGTATATACACACCAAGGAAGGAAAGTGATCACCATAAAGAAGACAGGAAAGGCTACAGCAGTACAAGAGTACCGGGTTACAGCTGCTGGGGGACACATAACTTTGAGTACTCCCGACACTCTGCATGGAACTGAAGGTATTATTCACTGAGTAGAAGTTGCATTATTTTCAGCTTCTTTGTAAACCTAGTAACTACATCACTGAATTTTTCATTAAAAAAGTACAATTAGTATTTTTCTTACAGGAATCCCTGGTATCTGTCATCATGAGAAGATTATTTTTGATGTTCTCAACAAGCAAAATCAAGCACTCTAATTTTTCTTTTTAAATTTTACTTTAAAAACACACCGTGAAATTGACTTTTTACATGTGTGTACAATGTGATGCCTTTCTTACACATGTATATATTTGTGGAACTACCACCACTATTGGGACATAAAACAGTTCCCCCAAAAAACTCCTGCATGCAATCCTACTGTTATCATACTGTTCCCTCACCCCTAATCCATGGCAGTCATTGACTTGCCCTCATCCTATAGCTTCATCTTTTTCCATAATGTCATATAAATGGAATACATGCAAACTTGACACTGGCTGACATCTTTCACTTGGTCCAATGCCTTTGAAATCCATTCAAGTTGGCAACTGTATAAATAGTTCTTTTTTTTTAATTACTAAATAGTATTCCATCATTATGAGTGTACCATAGTTTGTTTATCCATTAAGCACTGGTTTTAACCATTTTAAACAAATGTTTCCAAGGACGTACTCAGGAAAAGACAAATAATCTTGAATATCATCAATGCTGAGAAGTCTTAATATGACAAAACTCTCTAATTATATACAAACATTCAGAAACTCAGCATTAACATGTTGGCATGAGGCTAGTCATCTCTCACCCAACTCTCACTGTTACCTTTTAGATAAGTGGGATGTGTGTGTGTGTGTGTGTGTGTGTGTGTGTGTGTGTGTGTATTTAATGACAGCAAATTTATATTGCTATTTCCATCTTATCTTGCTAAGGTGAAATTCATGGGAAGGTATGTAAATACATACAAGGTAATACACACAAGACTGCAAATGTATTAAAATGAGGAGATACTAGAATGGATGGGTCAATTATTTAAAACAAAAAGAAAATCTCCTCTAGCCACCAAGGATCTTAAGAACAAGACACTGATGTGAAAAAACATTTTCTTTTGTGTACACTAAATGTGATCTTGTACAAATATCACCTCCCACGTGGCCGTCTGAAGGATCTTAGCACGAAGAATTCACAGGAAGTTAAATAATAAGCGATGTAAACAATCACTGGCTGTTTAAACTTTACTGGAAGAAGACATAAACCCACATGCAGAAAAGCTAAATAAGAGTAACAAGTTGGCTGAGAAGATCACTTAAGATTTTCTTTGGGAAATACTCTATTCAAGTACATGAGTATAGCAAATGATATATATTGATGATACATATTCAGTTAATTACTTAACCCACATCTATTTCTAAGAATGTGAATACTCAGAGCAGACACAAATACCTACAGGGGAAAGGAAGCAGCAAAAGGAGCAAAGGGGATCAGATGGCTAGACAGACCATTAAGCGATGCTTGGATACACTGACAGAAGTAAAACAACTCACGTGACAATCAGAAGTCAAAATTAGAACGCCCGTTCAGAAAAATTCAGGTCTACCAAATGGCTGAGTTTACTCGTATTCAAATTTTTTTCAATACATCTTTATTGGAGTATAATTGTTTCACAATGCTGTGTTAGTTTCTGTTAGACAACACTGTGAATCAGGCATATGTATACATATATCCCCATATCCCCTCCCTCTTTTTTTTTTTTTTTTTTTTTTTTTTTTTTTGTGGTTCGCGGGCCTCTCACTGTTGTGGCCTTTCCCGCTGCGGAACACAGGCTCTGGATGCACAGGCCCAGCGGCCATGGCTCAGGGGCCCAGCCACTCCGCGGCATGTGGTATCTTCCCAGACAGGGGCACGAACCCGTGTCCCCTGCAACGGTACTACCAGGGAAGCCCTATCCCCTCCTGCTTGAGCCTCCCTCCCACCCTCCCTATCCCACCCCTCTAGGTGATCACAAAGCACCGAGCTGATCTCCCTGTGCTACGGAGCTGCTTCCCACCAGTTACCTATTTCACATTTGAGAGTGTATATATGTCAGTGCTACTCTCACTTTGCTGCAGCTTCCACCTCCCCCACCATGTCCTCAAGTCCATTCTCTAGGTCTGCGTCTTTATTCCTATCCTGCCCCTAGGTTCATCAGAACCATTTTTTTTTT